GGTTTAGGGTTTAGGGTTTAGTCCCGTGTTGGGGTTCCTTATAGAGGGATCTACAAGGGTTTCTATACGGGTATTAGAAGGCTTCTCGGTGGGTACGTATGTAAATTGGGCTCTTCGGGTCCTTACTTATAAGGGTGCCGTACTTTGTTGGGGACCTAAATGGGGACCCTGGTTTCGAGAACTACCCAATATGGGCCATTAAAGGGTTTAGGGCTTAGTGTTCAGGGTTTAGGGTTTAGGGTTTAGGGTTTTTGTGGTTCAGGGTTTCTACTGGACGACTATAATGTAACCCCTGTGCGACTATACTCCGCACAAACAACGTTTTGTGACTGGCGGTTTGGGGTTTAGGGTTTAGGGGCAAGTATATAAAGGACCCCCAAAACCCCATTCTAAATATAAAGGCCCCTACACCCCAAACCCTTATAGTAGCCCTTTAAGGAACCCTTTAATGGAGCCCCAAAACCCTATTCTAATTAAGGCCTCAGACAAAGAGAAGGATCCTTGACCCTAAACCCTAAACCCTAAACCCTAAGCCCTAAACCCTAAGCCCAACTTGTCGGCTCAGGCAGGGGCTGTCGCCCTTGGCGGCCACTGACAGGTTGCCAAAGGATGGCCCTTGGAAGGAAACCCTAAACCCTAAACCCTAAAACCCAAACCCTAAACCCTAAACCCTAAACCCCAAACCCTAAACCCTAAACCCCAAACCCTAAACCCTAAACCCCAAACCCCAAACCCAGCTCTTCAGTGCGAGCGTGGGCTGTTTTGGGGTTTAGGGCTTGGGGCCTTAGGGTTGACTTGAACCTTTTAGTGTCGGAGCACGCCCTTTTCGATTAAAGCCCCCTACTTCGCGGGGGACTGAAGGGATCTAGGGTTTTCGGTTTAGGGTCTAGGGTTTAGGGACTGAAGGGATTTAGGGTTTCAGGCTGAGGTATAGTTTAGGAAGTTTGGGCTTACTTGGAGGTTCATGGGTAGTCATAAGTTGGGTAATACGTCCCCTAATATGGGTTATA